GCAATGAAGCTGGAGTTCACTGCCCAGACAGCCCAGCCTTCAAGGCCAGTGAGAGACCCTGTCCCAGAAAACCAGGTGGATACCTCCCTTCCCTCTGTCCCAGTGCATGTAGAAATGCACACGTGCACTCTTTTTCACACACACACACACACACACACACACACATAAATGAAACAAAAAGTACAGGAATGGGGATGTAGTTCAGTTGGTAGAGTGCTTGCCCGACATAAACCCCTAAATTCAACCCCCAGCCAAACTAGTCATGATGGCACAGCCTTTAATCCCAGCACAAGGGCACTTGGTCATTAACAGACCACATGAAACATGGTCCCATAAGTGAGTATGCCTCTGGCCTAGTGAATATATAGTAGGGAACAAAAATCTGGACAAAGATGTATAGGGTGAGGAGCTAAAAGTAATAATACTAATATTCTTAATATATTCTAATAATAATAATCAACAGGCGTACCCCTGACACGGACTTTTCTGGTTCGGACTGTAGACAGGTTGAAAGGGATGTGTTTTAAAGATCCCTTTGATTTGGGTAAGTTTTTGGAGGAGGTCAGATGGGGTGGCAGCGTGGCACCATTGGTAGAGTGCTGTTCGGCATGCACAAGGCCTGAATCCAGCCCCTAGCGCTGCGTACCTGAGCACAGTGGTGCATGCTTCTAGTCCTAGCGCAAGGGCTGTGGAAGAACATGGATCAGAAGTTCAAGGTCCATTTTGGCTCCATAAGGAGTTCCAGGCCATCCTTGGACACCTGAGATTCTGTCTCAAAAAGACACTAACAAAACAAAAGTCAAACACTATGGTAGCGATAAAAGACTTTCAGGAACTATCACACTCACGGGGCTTCTCATTAGTGTGCATCGACTCAACCGACTTCCAGTCTTGAAGACTTCTTTTATGATAAATGTCCTGTACTCATGTGTACTGTGTCTTCTTAATTCATTTAAAGAGCTATTTTTAATTTTTGTGTTTCTTTCTGAGACAAGGTCTTGCTATGTAGCCCTGGCTGGCCCAGAACTCTATGTAAAAGGGGCTGGCCTTAAATTCATGGAGACCAACCAGCCTCTGGCTCTTGAGGACTGGGATTAAAGGTGTGTACCACATACCTGGCTATTTTTATTATTTATATGTATTGTGTCACTGTGTTTGTGTATGCCATGTGTATGTGGGTGCTAATAGTCACACTCAGAAGAGTAGCAAAGGACTCTTAACCACTGATCCATTTCTCCAGCCCTCCATGTTATTTATGTGGGTGTGAATGAGATATGTATGCCACATGTATCCCTCAGTACACATGTGGCGCTCAGAGGAAAATGTGCTGGAATCAGCTCTCCTTCCATCATGCTTTCTCTCTCTCTCTCTCTCTTTCCCTCTCTCTCTCTCTCAGATTTATTATTTTATTTTATGTGTATGGATATTTTGCCTGCATAGATGTGTGTATCGCATGCATGATGCATGCCTGGTGGGATGGATCCCCTGGAACTGGAGTTACAGGCAGTTGTGAGCTGCCATGTGGGTGCTGGGAATTGAACCTGGGTCCTCTAAAGGAGCAGCCAATGCTCTTAACTGATGAACCATCTCCCCAGGCCCGTTTATTTCTCTCTTCTAAGATCTTGTTTTTACATTTCACTATTAGGATAAGAATTAATACTGTATCAAGCTGATAATAGAAAAATAAATAAATTTTTAAAAAAAGAAAAAAATCTTGTTTTTATTTTATGTGTATGAATGTTTGACGGACTATGTATGTGTCTGTACCGTGTTCATGTACATGTGTGTACTATGTACCCACAGAGGCCAGAAGAGGGCACTGGATCCCCTGGAACTGAAATTACAGCTGATTGTAAGCCATCACATGGGCACTGGGAACCAAACCTGGGTCTTCTGCAGAGTAGCAAGTGCTCTTAACAACTGAGCCATCTCTCCAGCCCACCCACCATTTTGTTTTGTTTTTGTTTTTGTTTGTTTGGTTGGTTGGTTTTGGTTTTCGAGACAGGGTTTCTCTGTGTAGACCAGTCTGGCCTTGAACTCACAAAGATCCTCCTGCCTCTGCCTCCCAAGTGCTGGAATTAAAGGCGTGTGCCACCAACACCTGGCCCCACCCATCATTTTTTATACCTGTTTGTTTGTTAGAGTGGGGGGGGGGGGGGTTATAATACAGAACTTTGTGTGCCCTACAACTGAGCTATATAAAGAGCACTTTTTAAAATTACTTTTTTTAGACTTTGTTTTTATTTTATGTACATTGGTGTTTTGCTAGCATGTATGTCTTTTTGAGGGTGTCAGAAGCCTTGGAACTGGAGTTACAGACAGGTGTGAGCTGCCTTGTGGGTGCTGGGAACTGATCCCAGGTCGTCTGGAAGAGCAGCCGGTGCTCTTTACCACTGAGCCATCTCTCTAGCCCAGCCAGCATTTTTTGTTTTGTTTTGTTTTTTGTTTTTTGAGACAGGGTTTCTTTGTGTAGCTTTGCGCCTTTCCTGGGACTCACTTGGTAGTCCAGGCTGGCCTCGAACTCACAGAGATCGGCCTGGCTCTGCCTCCCGAGTGCTGGGATTAAAGGCGTGCGCCACCACCGCCTGGCCCAGCCAGCATTTTTATAGTGTATTTTTGATGTACACTGGCTTCGTTTAGATCTATGAATATCACTGTGTTAAACTTGCTTATGGTATTCAGCACAGTAACAATAAGTAACAAATAGGTTTGGAACCTGGGAGCACTCAGCTAACAACATAGCTTCAGTGTGTAATAGGGTACCCCATCTAGGTTTGTGTAACTACCATATATAATGTTCACGCAATAACAAGACGGCCCAATGCCTTTCTTAAAATATGTGCTTATTAATCAAGACACAATGTTGCCCCCTCCCCTCAATCCCATCATCTTGTCTTCTGTAACATGCATTGCTACCTGAGACTTCCTGATATTGTTGATTTGCGCTTCATTTCCCTACTAAGAGTTGACCTTGTCACTGTAGCTTTCCTGTTTAAAATAGGACCTGGTAGAGCTGAACACGGTGGCTTACCCTTCTCTTTCCAGCACTTGGGAGGTAGAAGCAACAAAACTGCCCCGATTTCAGGGCTAGCCTGGGCTAAAGAGTGAGACCCTTTCTCAAAAATACGAATAAATCATAAGAATAAACCAAAATTGGGGCTGGAGAGATGGCTCAGAGGTTAAGAGCACTGGCTGCTCTTCTGGAGGTCCTGAGTTCAATTCCCAGCAACCACATGGTGGCTCACAACCATCTGTAACGAGAGATCTAGTCCCTTCTGGCCTGCATGCAGGCATACATGCAGGCAGAATACTGTATACATAATAAACAAATCTTTTTTGTTTTCTTTTGTTTTGTATTTTTCGAGACAAGGTTTTTCTGTGTAGTTTTGGTGCCTGTCCTGGATCTCGCTCTGTAGACCAGCACCGCCCAGCTTCTTTCTTTCTTTCTTTCATATTTATTTATTTATTTATTTTAAGGTTTGTTACTGGGCGGTGGTGGCACATGCCTTTAATTACAGCACTCTGGAGGCAGAGCCAGGCAGATCTCTGTGAGTTCGAGGCCCGTCTGGTCTACAGAGCGAGATCCAGGATAGGCACCAAAACTACACAGAGAAACCTTGTCCAAAAAAAAAAAAAAAAAAAAAAAAAAACAAGAAAGAAAGAATAAAACAAAAATTAAGACCTGGTACATGCTCAAGATATCTGTTGGATAATGGATAAATCTGTCATCAGTATCTTAATTGTGGATTTCTAGGATCCCCGTAGGAGGTCTGTTAACACATAATACATCAATGACAGTTTTAACATAGTTGGTAGAACTCGGGCGAACGCACTCACACACACACTCAGTAAGGCTCTCACACATTTTCTTTGTGCAAGTTAAAGCCGTGTTCTTTCTGGATTTATTGCCCTGCTCAGCAATGACATCAACAGCACACTCCATTACCCTCCAATAACTATCTCTTTTAAGAGGATATGTGACATTTCAGATAAAGCTCTTTTGTTGGCCTATTGTGGGGACTGGAACCCAACAGTCTCCTGCTTCGGCCTCTCAAGTCCTAGGATTATAGGACAAATAAAAATATAGATAATTCAAGGGATGTATTCCAGCCATGCCTCTGCTGGTTTAGGAGATAAAACCGTGGAGGCCGGGACTAAACAAACATGGGAGCATGACATAAAGTACATGTTTGTTTAGCTCGATGGGAATGACCCGTAAGACTATCAGAACGCCTCACCCAAAGTTCAGCCACTACAGATGAACTAAAACAGTAGTACAAGTAGCAAAATTCGGACAGGAAATGGGGGGAAAGGGAGGACCATTTAGGACTGGCTGGTTAGGGGAGGTAATATGGCATCTCCCAGGCTCCTAAGCATTCCTCATCTCTTTCTGGTGAGAAGGTGAAGGTAGAGCTGCAGAATGCCTGCTCTGTTAGGTCTGGGGCAGAACATTCAGGCCTCTTCTCTCCCCACCAAATCATATCCCAAACAGATTGGGAACTCAGCCGGCGCCCGGGTGCGGGGAAGCCTGGCCGCAGGCCTCCAGGACACTGTCTGCCACACGGCTTAGCTCCAAGGCCGGCCAAGACCAGAGGAAGGCCGTGTGGAGTCTCTGGTTTCCACACACCCGCCCACGCCCCTTCCACCACAGCATCGCGGGGCGAGCAGCGCTATGGGAAAAGGACCAGGCATAAGTCCGGGCAAAGAAGAGGGGAGCAGGAGCCGCCCCAGAAGAAGAAGCCAGGCCAAACGGGCTCCCCGGAAGGCGAGCAGCGTGAGACCTCACGGACATTCCCACCGGCTCGATCACGTAGCTCGGCCCCGCCCGACCCCGCCCGGCCCCGCCTCAATCACTCCAGCCTACTCCCCAGCTGAGGGCCAAGTGGAACCTCCGCCTGCGCCTTTAAGGGGCGTGACCACAGGCTCCGCCCCTCCTCCCCGCGCGCACCAATAAGGAGAGGGAGGCGGGAGGCGGAGCCCGGTGTGGCGAGCAGGAGGCGAAAGATGAGCCGATGCGCAGGCGCAGTGGCCCGGCGATAGGCAGTGTGTTTCCAAAATGGCGGCAGCGATGGATGTGGATACCCCCAGCGGCACCAACAGCGGCGCGGGCAAGAAGCGCTTTGAAGTGAAAAAGGTTGGGTCTCGCCAGCACCTTCCTCAGGGAAGCTAGAGAGGCGTGGATATGGCTGGCAAGCCCGAGAACGAGCGTGGCGCGGGGGAAAGAGCTGCTTTTCGGGGCGTTCCTGGGACCGGGTACCACTAAAGGAAGCTGGGGGGCGGGCCTTAGGATTGATCGGCATGACGGTGGCCCACTATTTGAGGCCATGTTAGTTTCGCTGGGGAAGCTGAGGGGCCAATCGCAGAGCCGCTTACTGAAATACGCGGGGTCGACTTGGTTGCGGGAGCCAACCAAGCGCTTGAGCTGTCACTGAAGTGACTGAGAGGTGGGGGAAGGACTGGGTGGGGTGGGCGGAATGGAGACTTGGAAGAGACTGCGGCGGGTGGAGGATGGGGTAGTGCGGAGAAAGCCGGGAACGTGAGATCTCACCGCAGAGGAGGCTCTGAGGAGCCCTTTCGGGGTTCTCCTTGCCCCGCCCCTCACTGGATCCTTGAGTCTATTGACACTCGGGAGACCTGATTTGGGTACTCGATTGTATGAGGCCTTCATTCGCCTCTCAAACCCGGTCTCGGGTGTAAAACTTGGTTCTTCCGAGATGTCTACTGGTTGTCACATAACTTCTGCCAGTCCCATAGTTCTCTAGTGGCCGGATGCCCTTCTAACAAAAATCAGTCATTAAAAAGCTCGGTGGGCTTTCTTTTAAAAGCAGGCCCAGAACTTGAAGCATTTAGGAAAGTGGAGTACTAATTGTTAATGACTTGGGAACAAGAAAGCAATAATGTGGAACGTCTTTTGGCACGCTATTCCCCTTCATGGTTTGCCAACAGTTTGGGAGAAAGATTACATAAATCTGTTCAAAATGAAGATCTAGAAGTAGGGGATGTTTTCTTCTTAAATATTTTTGGAACATGTCGCTGAGCACACTCCACCCCACCCAACCCCCTTTTTTGGCGTCTGATTGTGGCCATTGCTGCTCAGTTACAGCCAGCAGCCATACTGAAAAATGAAAAGTAATTGTTTTTCCTTCGGAGTTGATGTTGTGGTATGAAAAGTAGTGTAGGAGTTACTAAACTGTGAGTTGAATCTGAAAGAGATGAAGAGTTGAGAAGTCACATCAAAGGGGTGTTTGGCAATGTATGTATAATTGAGAAGCCAGTTGAATTACTTTTAGATCGACTGACTAGAATTAAATAGTTTGAACATATAAAAGTTGAGAACATCAGTTTGTTTGATAAGAGGAAAAGAAAATTGTAGTGGATTCTGCTTTGCCATGAATTAATCTGGTAAGATTTAAGTGATGACCTTGTTCTGTGTACTGACACTGGGTAGGTAACTAGCTATCCAGCTTATCCCATGATTATCCACTTTATGATCCAGTCATCATCTTAGTTCATTCTGTTCACCTCCCTGCTGTGTGTCCAAAACTGCTTGAAGAGCAGATACTTCTGCAGTTTTCTAGTCTTCCACAACTGCCAGGAAAAGCTGCCTGAGAACTGAAGTGTTACTTAACTTAAATTTAAAACAAGGGTTTAAAAGATATTTCTAAGCTGGGCGGTGGTGGCGCACGCCTTTAACCCCAGCACTGGTTAGGCAGAGCCAGATGGATCTCTGTGAGTTCAAGACCAGCCTGGTCTACAGAGCAAGATCCAAAACTACACAGAAAAACCCTGTCTCAAAAAACAAACAAACAAAAAAAGGTACTTCTAATTTGCTTACATTGGTTTGGCTCCCTAAATTATTGTACACTATAGGCAGAAAATTGAAGAGTGAGTCCCATCTTCATATACTCCATCTTTGGATGAATGAGGAAGCATGTATGTGGTTTGCTGTTGTCCTTGGATGTAGTACAAATAGTATAATCCAAAAACATTCTTTCCTTAATAGTCCCTATGGCCAGGGAGTTGGTAGCTGAAGCTGAAACCTGAAATCCTAATGAGTCTGTTACATTACAAGGAAAATGCATTGTTTTCCCCTTTTCTCTTTGCAGTGGAATGCAGTAGCCCTCTGGGCCTGGGATATCGTGGTTGATAACTGTGCCATCTGCAGGAACCACATTATGGATCTTTGTAAGTAACTCAAGGACGATGGGAAGAAGTTGAGGAAATGGTGGTCCTCCCAGTGTGACTGACTTCTTTTTCACACGTAGATACAAAGCACAGTCAGAACCCTTGAGCACTCATGCATCTCATCCATTGGTGTGTTTGAAATAGATTGTTTCATTTTTTGAGACACAGTTTCTATGTGTAGCTCTGACTATACTGGAACTCAGTTTGTAGATCAGCTGGCCTCAAACTCCCAGATCCATCTTCCTCTGCCTCCCGAGGTCTGGGATTAAAAGCCTGAGTCACCACCACCCAGCTCCAATAATAATTTATTTTTATTAGTAAGTTAAATAGTTTAAACTAATTTGCCCAAAGTTGATATCAACTATTTCAAATAAAAAGTTAAATTGTTTTTTAAAATGATGTCCTGGAGGCATACCCAGCTCTCAGAATAAATTACTCATTGTAAAGCCAACAACATCCCATTGAGAATGAGATGTAGGAAGAGTTACCCTTTCTTCCCATCTTATCCAAACACAAAGGGAAAAATAATGAAAGAAAATTACTTTTGAAAGTAGATATGGCAGTGCATGCCTGTAATCCCAGCATTGGAGAGGCATTGGCAGGCAGGAGTATTGTGGCGGGTTACAGGCCAGCCAGCGCTAAAGTTTGAGATACAGTACTCTTATCTGAACTAGGTTTTGTTGGGCAAGATTGCGGTCACAGCCTGGAGGGATGGCAGCAGTTAAGAGCACTGGCTGCTTTTACAGAGGACCCAGGTTTAATTCCCAGTAATCAGCCGGGTGGTGGTGGTGGTGGTGGCGGCGGCGGCGGCGGCGGCGCACGCCTTTAATCCCAGCACTCGGGAGGCAGAGGCAAGCGGATGTCTGTGAGTTCGAGGCCAGCCTGGGCTACAAAGTGAGTTCCAGGAAAGGCGCAAAGCTACACAGTGAAACCCTGTCTCGAAAAAAACAAAACAAAACAAAATTCCCAGCAATCACATGAAGGATTACCAATGGTCTATCACATCAGTTGCAGGTGATTCAATGCCCTCTTCTGGCCTCCAAGGGCACCAGGCATTCTCTGGTGCAGGCAAAGCACCCATACACATTAGATAAATAAGTGAATAAATTATAAAGTAAATTTATAGTCAGCCCTATATAATCTCAAGTTCTATATTTGCGGGTTCAAACAGCATCTGTGCGTGTATAATATATGTGTGTATATCCCCTACACATTCTCCGCATTTACACATGCACACGTAGGCTATTGGGTGGTTCTCTTAGATGTTCCCAAGATATACTATAGTATTTCTTTATGTCTGTCATTTAATTAGGTGGTCTTCTGTTGTAACTATGTTATTTACTACTCTTAACATGTTGTCTAGTACATAATAAAACTGCACTGAATATTTGCTAGATGAATAACAAAACCAAATGGAGTTAACAGTCTGATCACTCCAACTTGGAAAGCATGAATCCAAAGATGTGTGTTGGAAAGCACCATGTGCTGTTTGCTGATAGTTGTTGATGACTCAAAGTTTGTTTGAACTTTGACCTTTCCTGTGCTACAGTGAGAGCAGATCAGCAGCTGCCATCACCGAAACATGGCTGTTTACAGAGTGGAGTCTCCAGTTGTGTGCATGCCCGTCTCTGTCCCTTGTATTTTCACAAGGTGCACCCAGAGAAAATCTTCCTTCCTTGGTGCTCTCGTCCTTCTTACATTCCTTGTTTCAAGTCAGTGTGTGTCTCTGTATTGGAGAGAACATGCTTCTTGGGTGGACGGCAGAGCCCCAGCATGTTCTTTCCCCACTAGATACTTTGTCTCATAATACAGTGTGTATATGTTTTTGTCTTGTTTGTTTTTAAGATATATTTATTTATGTGTATGAGCGCTCTATCTCCATGTATGCCTTTATGCTAGAAGAGGGCATCAGATCCCAATAGAGATGGTTGTGAGCCACCATGTGGTTGCTGGGACTTGAACTCAAGTCCTCTGGAAGCCAGTGCTCTTAACCGCTGAGCCATCTCTCCAGTCCCTTCTTCTCGTTTTTTTCTCGAGGTAGGGTTTCTGTCTAGCTCTGGCTGTCCTGGAACTTGCTCTGTAGATCAGGCTGGCTTTGAACTCATATCCTCCTGCCTCTGCCTTTCCAGTGCTGAGATTAAGTGCCCTGTTTGTTTGTTTGTTTTAAGTTTTGGGGTTTTGTTTGTTTTCTTTTGAGATGGCAGATAGCCAGGCTGGCCTAGAACTCAGTATGTTGCCCACATTGATTTCAAATTCATGATCCTCCTGCCTCTGCTTCCCTCATTGTGTTCAAAATATCACATGAGATAAAATATTGAACTTTAACAAAAACCTGTGACGAATCTGAGTGTAATGGTATATACTCGGAATCCCAGTACTTACGTGGGCTGTCTTAGGGTTTCTATTGCTGTGAAGAGACACCATGACCACAGCAACTCTTTTTTTTTTTTTTCTTTCTTTCTTTTTTCCCTCGAGACAGGGTTTCTTTGTATAACAGCTCTGGTTGTCCTGCAATTCATTCTGTGGACCAGGCAGGCCTTGAACTCACAGAGATCCACCTCTGCTTCCTTAGTGCCACCAATACCCAGCTCTAATCATGGCAACTCTTATAGGGAAAACATTTCACTGAGGGGGCTCACTTACAGTTTCAGAGGTTCAGTCCATCATCCTCATGACAGGGAGCATGGCAGCATGCAGGCAGACATGGTGCTGGAGTAGCTGAGAGTTCTACATCTTGCAGACAACAGGAAGTCGACTAAGACACTGGGCAGTGTCCTGAGCATAGGAAATCTCAAAGCTCGCCCCCACAATGACACACTTCCTCCAACAAGACCATACCCCCTCCAACAAAGCCACCTCCTAATAGTGCCACACCCTGTGAGATTATGGGGGCCAGTAACATTAAGTCTACCACAGTGGTAGAACTAGGAGGATCAGGAGTTCAAAGTCGTCCTTGACTACATAGCAAATTCAAGACAGCTTGACTTTATATATATGAGTTGCCGTGGTCATATATATGAGATCCTTTCTCAGAAAGAACAAGAAGTCATCCTGGTGGGTAGCTCAGTGGTTCCTTCTGCTTCCACCTCTGAAGTGCTGGGGAAAAAGGCATGCACACTATGTCTGTCTTTTGGGGGGTGTCGTTTGTTTTTGCTTGAGACACAATCTCACTGTAGAGTCCAGGCTGGCCTGGAACTCAACAGATATCTGACTGCCTCTGCCTCTGCCTCATGAGTCCTGGATTTCAGGCATGAGCCCCCAGGCCTAGCCTCCAAAAAAAAAAAAATTTTTTTTGTTTCTTTAAGAAAGGGTTTCTTGCCGGGCGGTGGTGGCGCACGCCTTTAATCCCAGCACTCGGGAGGCAGAGCCAGGCGGATCTTTGTGAGTTCGAGGCCAGCCTGGGCTACCAAGTGAGTTCCAGGAAAGCGCAAAACTACACAGAGAAACCCTGTCTCGAAAAACCAAAAAAAAAAAAAAAAAAAAAAGGATTTCTTGGGGGGGGGTTGCGGGAAGGGGGAGGACAAGGAAATCGGTGGCTGATATGTAAAATTAAATTAAAAAGAAAAGAAAGGGTTTCTCTGTGTAGCTTTGCGCCTTTCCTGGAACTCACTCTGTAGCCCACAGAGTAGGCTCTAACTCACAGAGGTCCGCCTGCCTCTGCCTCCTCCCCCAAGTCCTAGGATTATAGGTGTGAGCCACCACATAGCCCTCTTCACCTTTTCCACATCCATTGGAAACGATTACTGGGGGGAAAAAAAGATTAACGGCCAGTTACCCACTTCAGGACCTAGCTGGCCAGGTTGGAAGCTGCCCCCAGGTCCAGTGATGCTTTTGCTCTTGTTCCCACAGGCATTGAATGTCAGGCCAACCAGGCATCTGCTACTTCCGAAGAGTGTACTGTCGCGTGGGGCGTCTGTAATGTAAGGAATCATCTTTACCTATTGGCATGGCTTGTGCATGTATTGCTGCTTGCCCTGCTTGCCAGTCTTGAAAATGATTAGGGGGAAAAATGAGTAGCCCACCTTTCTCCCAAAAGGTATAGAAATGATAAAAACAGATTTTAAATCCTTATAGTATTTACCTTTAACCAGATAAACAGTAGTTAAACTAGTTTGTCTTATTATTATTAAGTGGGCCTACTTTCCTATGCAGTGTTTAATATTTAGACACCTTCAGGGGTTTTCTTCAAAGTGGAGAACAGTCCTGGGAGAGTATCTGCACCTTCTCAACAGACCTTATAAGGGAAGTGTCTGGGATGAGGTTTGGTGAATGAGTGGAGTGTTAAGGTCTCAGTTCTCTGTGTGTGTAAGTTAGATTTCATGCAGAGTGCGTGCGTGCGTGCGTGCGTGCGTGCGTGCGTGCGTGCTCTGCTCTGCTCTGCTCTGCTCTGCTCTGCTCTGCTGCCCCAGAAATAGTCAGTACTGCAGTGTTGGACTGAATGTACAGCCTTGCAGGGTATGACAGCTGTGAAGGAGATGAAACAACAAATATATTATTTCAGGCACATTAAAAATTTATCTATAGAACCATAGTCTTAGTTACATGAGATAAAATTGCCCTGACCTAGCCAGGCGGTGGTGGCGCACGCCTTTAATCCCAGCACTCGGGAGGCAGAGGCAGGCGGATCTCTGTGAGTTCGAGGCCAGCCTGGTCTCCAAAGCGAGTTCCAGGAAAGGCGCAAAGCTACACAGAGAAACCCTGTCTCGAAAAACCAAAAAAAAAAAATTGCCCTGACCAGTCAAGCCCTGGATGCACAGCTTCCGTTTTGACGAAGGAGTCACAGATTCTAGGCTCAGCATCCTCTTTTTCTATCTTACTAGCTAAGTGAATTTGTCAGAGCATTGAACATCTCTAATCCTGGGTTCCCTAGGATAAAATATGGCTAATAGTGAAAGTGTAAACAGGATTAAATGATGTAACTTTTCAAAAGTGCTTGGAAGGCCAGTGAGATTGCTCAGTGGATAAGGGGCCTTGCTGCCAAGGCTTGTGACCTGAGCTTGAGTTCTGGGACACGCATGGTAGGAGGAGAGAACTGACTCACAGGTTGTCCTAACCTACCTACATGAACACACCCAAAGCAAATAAGTGTTTTGTTTGTTTGTTTTTTAAAAGATTTATTTATTTAATGTACGTTGGGGTTTTGCCTGCATATATGTCTGTATGAGGGTGTTAGATCCCCTGGAACTGGAGTTACAGACAGTTGCAAACTGCCATGTGGGTGCTGGGAATTGAACCTAGGTCCTTTGGAAGAACAACCAATGCTCTTAATCTCTTGAGCCATCTCTTCAGCTCCCGAAAATAAATATTTTTAAAGTACTTAGAAGACTCTCAGGACATAGTAAGAAGAAATATTTGTTAAGAAAGTTACATGGTGGTGGCACATGCCTTTAATCCTAGATTCAGGAGGCAGAGGCAAGCAGATCTCTGTGAGTTCAAGGACAACCTGGTCTACAGAGCAAGTTCCAGGACAGCCAGGGCTGTACAGAGAATCCCTGTCTCGAAAAACCAAACAAGAAAAGAAAGAGCTAAATGTGGGGTCAGTGGTTAAGGGCACATACCGCTCTTCCAAAAAACCCAAGTCCAGTTCCCAACACCCACAGCAGGCTGCTCAAGACCACCTATGATTCCAGCTCGGGGAAGTGGACACCTCTGGCCTCTGCAGGCACATATATATACCCACAGTAGGCACACGTACACATAATTAAAAAACAATGATCTTTAAAGGAAAACTAAATGAATAGAGATTTGGGGGTGACCCTTACTAGTGGTCAGGGCTTTGCTTGTAGCCTTGAGGCTGTCTTCCCACCCACTCCTGCCCACTCTTCCCCTCTGTCAGACCCTTTGACCACTTCATAGACCTCATTAGCCAACGATGATGTTAAACATTCACAGAGATAGAGGAAACACACCAGGTGCTTTGCCCTCACCACCTTCAGACTGAAGGTGCCATTCTTCAGTGTGAAGGGAAAGGGTGAGCCTGAGCCTGCTCAGATGGGTCATTGGGTAAAGTGCTTAGTGCCAAGCCGACAACCAGAGTTCGGTCTCTGGAACCCCCACGGGAGAAGAACCCACCCCACAAGTTATCTTTGATCTCCATGTGAGTGCCATGCATACTTGTGCCCACAAATAACACAAATGTAATGTTAAATTGTTATTTAGACACTCAGTGTGTAGCCCTAGCTGGCCTGGAACTCAGATCTGCCTGTGTCTGCCTGTGCTGGGATTAAAGGCATATGCCACCACGCCTGGCTTTTATCTAAATTTAAGAATTTTTGAGCCAGGTGGTATGGTGGTATATGACTTTAATCCCATTCCTCAGGAGGCAGAAACAGGTGGATCCCCAAGTTTGAGGATCCCCAAGTTTACTTATAACCATGGCTACACAGAGAAACCCTGTCCTGAAAAATCCAAAGGAAAAAAAAATTTCTTTAATGAAAAATTTAGATAAAGATGAATTTATTCAGATAGCTTGCCATAAAGGAGAGCCTGGTCATGCTGTGCCATAAGCCTCCAGATTAGGCTAGGGTGCTAGTTCTGAGTCTTGTATGAACCATCTCTGTGAATTAGACAAGTCATTTGTCTGGGGTTCAGTTTCCTGTCTGTAAAGTACAGATAGTAATATCTGTCGTGCCTGCTTGCCGTGGGCTTGAATGAGGTAATAGATGTCAACTTCTTCTGTAAACCTGGGCTGTCAGTATGCCCTTGGTAAACTGTACTGTCTGCTAAATACACCCTTTACTGCATTTGAAATTAAGAGGAAGAAAGATAGAACCGCTCGCATTGAAACCTCCTTCACAGCCACCCAGCCCTGAGTACTTGCTGTTCTGAGGGGTTAAGCCCCATTCTGTAGGATACTTAGCAGGGAGGTGGCAGCTAAAGACAGGTGTCTTGCCTATCTTTGGATGAACTGTCCCTAATACCTAGATGTTGCAGGAAGTATCTCGGGTTCTGCCTCTTAGATTCTGAGGGGGCTTTTTGTTTTGTTGCCTTGTTTTAGACAGGGTATCCTGCTGCTCACGCTGGTCTTGAACTGGGTGTTTAATTGAGTGTGACCTTGAACTCTTGGTTCCCCTACTTCACCTTACAAGTGCTGGGATTATAAGCGTGCAGAAAGGCTTTTTTTTTTTTTTTCTCTCTTGATTTTTAGGTTTTTTGTTTGTGTATTTGTTTGTTTTTTTCCTGATGAGTCATGTTAATAGTCTGAAGGGGGCTGAGTGGTGGTAGCACACACCTTTAATCCCAGCACTCGGGAGGCAGAAGCAGGCAGATCTTTGTGAGTTCGAGGCCAGCCTGGTCTACAGAGTGAGATCCAGGAAAGGCTCCAAAGCTACACAGAGAAACCCTGTCTCAAAAAAAAAGAAAAGAAAAGAAAAAAAATTTTTAAATAAATAAGAGTTCTAAGATGTTCTGTGGGATGTTGCCCTCTCATCTATGGCTGCCCTGTCCCCATGATTGGTATTGACAGTAGGTCATGGCTGCAGTGACCCATAACAACTTGTCTTCTCTTTCAGCATGCCTTTCATTTCCACTGCATCTCCCGATGGCTCAAAACGAGGCAGGTGTGTCCGTTGGACAACAGAGAGTGGGAATTCCAAAAGTAGGTGTTCCACCTTGTTTGGGGTTCTAAGTCTGGGTCCTCTGGTGAATGTCATTCTCCTCCTGGGCTCAAGCTGAAGCAGCTGGAGTGGTGGAGCATGCCCTTTTTCGTTGTTGTTTTTTAGACAGAGTCTTTCTAAGTAGCCCTAGCTGTCCTAAAACAGGCCGGCCACAAACTCAGAGATCTACCTGCTGTCTCCTGAGTGGTAGGATTAAAGGCGTGTACCACCATTGCCTTATTTTTAAGCCAGGTTTTGAGAAAATAAACAGGGATTAGCCAGCATTTTACAGGAGTTTTTTTCAATCTGCTAGGTCTGTCAAAGTGAAAAATATGGGATTCAGAAACGATGGTCAAGTATTCCCAGGGCTAGGCGGTGAAGGTCGGTGGTAGAATACTTGCCTAGCATGTGCAAGGTCCTGGATTCAATCCCTGCTACCACCGAAATGAGTTAGTAAATCTCTATAACCCAACCCTGATAGCTCCATTATGCAAAATTTCATTGTCCAACTGTTGCCTTTCTTTGGGTGTGGAGGGTTGGTCTAGTGGTGCTTGGGGTCTCTTGGTGTAGCCCTGCCTGGCCTGGGTGTTTTTTGGAGTTCCTCCTGCCTCTGCCTCCCCAGAGCAGGATCTTAGATGTGCCCATGGAAACCTGCTCCTGTTGTTTGGGGCTGTTTATTTTTCCTTCAGATAGCATCTCATTCTGTAATTCAGGCTGGCCTCCTTAGGACTCTCCCGCCTCAGCCTTCCAAGTCCCTTTGGCTTAGCTCAGCTGATTGATTCTGATACCAAATTACAGGTAATTGATCACATTTTTATTATTAAAGCTAAGCCAGGTGTGGTAGCGAATGCCTTTGATCTTAAATTTGAGTTCAAGGCCAGCCTGGTCTACATAATGATAGGACTACACAGAGTCTGGAAAAACAAACAAACAAAATGTGTTTAGTGGTTTTCGGGTCTTCCTCTCCAGCATCCTCATGAGGTCGTTTGTTTTGTCTTTCAGGTATGGGCACTAGAAAAGACTCTCCCTAAAGCTTACCTGTTTGTTACTCGTGTGGTGACTTGCCTTCCTGTTAATTATAAATTAGATAGAGCCGTGGTTTGTTTCTTTCCTTTGTCTTGGGAGTTTGCTGTTCCCACAGCCATATTGTATGTTGTGTCAAATAAAGTTGTTAAGTTCGAGAATGGTTGCTGTCTCGTGTATGTAGAAAGAGTGACATGAGAAGGGGCATCTTCAGTGCCAGAAACAACCTCCAAAAGTGCACTGTTCATCACCAGAACAGAGCTGTCCTACAGGGGCATCACAAGGGCACACACAAGGAACCTGTTTAAAGTCTGGAAGTGTGGGTCACTTGTCTTCCTTCTGACATAGCACTGGGCATCTGGATGAGGAAGTGACAGCCTTGGACCAGCCAGGTCTGCTCTGGGCCTTCCTCTCTCATGAGGGAGCCTAAAAATGAGTAATTGGGCTTTTTAAGCTCTAAAACACTACAATCCTAATTTGTGTGCCTATGGGTATAGTTCAATAGTAGGGTGTTTGCCCAAAGCCCTGGGTTCAATTGTTGGCCTAAATAAATTAAAAAAAAAAAAAAAAAAAAAAAAAGTTGAGCTTGAATTAACAAGAGCTCAAGTTTCCTTTAAACATGCTGGCCACGGAAGGAGTTGCCAGCCTGATGCTAAGTCAATGGCTGCAGTCTCTACTGAGAAACCGTTTTGTTGCCGTGGTTCTTGTGTGGCTAATTGTTCTGCAGGGGTTGTGAAATCCCGGGCGGTTTTCCTTCCTACAGTACAGTTCCCAGTGAAAGCATTCTTCATTTACTTCAGTCAAAGCTCAGATGAGGCAGATTTGAGACTCCAACTCTTGTCAGAAAAAGATTGCAAAAATGTGTGGAACAATGCTGTCTCGTTTGTTTTCCAAGTTAATTTCAATAAAAATATTTATGTTAATATGTGATGCATCTGTTTTTTTTATATCATTTTCAAGATTATATTCTGCCTTTTTTCTTTTGGTTTTTCGAGACAGGGTTTCTCTGTGTAGCTTTGGTGCCTGTCCTAGATCTCACTCTGTACCCCAGGCTGGCCTTGAACTCACAGAGATCCGCCTGCCTCTGCCTCCCGAGTGCTAGGATTAATGTCATTTGCCACCCCCCGCCCAGTTTACGTTTCTGCCTTTCTAGAAAATACTTTTCCTTTTATGGGTGGCAGTGTGGATGCTCATGAGTGTGCATGTGGAGGTTGCCACTGGGTGTCCTCTATCATTGTCCACAGTTTCTGCACAAGATCTCCCACTCACCAGGGAACTTGCCGATTGCTTAGACTGCCTGGGATCCTCCTGCTTCTGCCACCTAGCTCTCACCTGACTACCTGGGTGCTGGAGGTTAAACTCAGGTTTGCCAGGCAGTCACTTGACTGACGGCCACCTCCACAACCTGCGCTTTCTCTGTTTGGTACCCATCATGGTGTGTAAAGTGTAGCATTCTGTCCTCTGAGCAGTGGCCACCTCAGATCATCAGTGCCTACCGGCAAGAGGCCTGTTTACATTCCCTCAGAGAAGCAGGTCGGAAGGGGCCGATGAGATTCCAGCCACGCCTTCCAGACATTAATGCAACTGCTCTAATTGCTAGTGGCCTGGGGATCGCTGGAGCTTCTGTACCGGATGCTTAAAGCTGGAAGCAGGAGTCCTTGCTGGGAAGAACTTCAGTCTGACTGCTTTGGGGTCACCTACACTTCTGTCTGTCAATAACTCTGTATCCTCTAAGTAAGCCCAGTAAACTCCCCAGAGTGAACTTGGGTGGGATTGGACTTTGATTTGTCATTAGACCCTGAGAGTGTAGAGTGGATATTTGTCCCCCAGGAAGGAATTCTCCCAACACAGATAACCCAGATAAAAATTTGGGTCCTCGCCGGGCGGTGGTGGGGCACGCCTTTAATCCCAGCACTCGGGAGGCAGAGCCAGGTGGATCTCTGTGAGTTCGAGGCCAGCCTGGTCTCCAAAGCGAGTTCCAGGAAAGGCGCAAAGCTACACAGAGAAACCCTGTCTCGAAAAACCAAAAAAAAAAAAAAAAAAAAAAAAAAAAAATTTGGGTCCTCAGCCGGGCAGTGGTGGCGCATGCCTTTAATCCCAGCACTCGGGAGGCAGAGGCAGGCGGATCTCTGTGAGTTCGAGGCCAGCCTGGGCTACCAAGTGAGTTTCAGGAAAGGCACCAAAGCTACACAGAGAAACCCTGTCTCGAAAAACCAAAAAAAAAAAAAAAAAAAAAATTTGGGTCCTCAATTTTTAGAATCTTGCTGTTTGATTGGTTGGGTTTGTTGTTACTTTGTTACTTTTAGACAGAGGCTCACTATGTAGCCCCATCAGGCCTGGAACATACAATGTAGACCAAACAGATCTCAAACTTACACATATTTTAAATTTTTTTGTTTTTATTTTTAGTATCACAAAATGGATGATGGAGACTAGAAATTATGCAAACCCCTAGTAATAAGGAACTTTGAAGTGTAACCTAGATTAAACCCATTTCCTTAACTGCCACTGAGTGTGAGGAACAGCGCAGGATCACATGGAGGGGCCGCAATCATTGCAGTTACATTTGGGGGACCTCCACCTTCACCCCTTCACCTCCTTGACCTCTCCCCAGCGGAAGTTCAAGCTGCATAAATAATTTCATGAGTGAACATGTTTGCTCTTCACCCAGGTGACACATTTAGAGCATATTCCTGTCTAAAAAAACAACTGGGCTAGAGAGATGCCCAAACAAATTGAATTAAAAAAAATTTTTTTTTTGTTTTTTCAAGACAGGGTCTCTCTGTGTAGCTCTGCGCCTTTTCTGGAACTCACTCTGTAGCCCAGGCTGGCTTCAAACTCAACAGAGATCCTCCTGGCTCTGCCTCCCAAGAGTAAAAAAAAAAAAAATTTTTAAAGCCCAGCATTTGGGATTGGAGTCAAGAGAATTAGGAGTTCAAGGTCATTTTTGACTACATGGTTATGGCTAGCCTGAGCTACAAGAGACTCTGTCTTAAATTTCTTAACATCTACATTTCTGTCCCGTTTCAGAGGATTGTTTATTTTGCCAACCAGGTAGACCTAGAGCTGAATTAAAGTCCAGTAGGGAGACTGCAAAGAGGATAGATAGATGAGAACCTGAATGTACTGATGCTGCAGAGATACACATCCCGACTTGTTCTCCAGGTCCCCAGCCTTCCTGCCTCCTGACAGTGGTACCTGAAGACTCTTCCTCCTGTTGCCTTCTATCATGAGGGCAGACATTCATCTTCATTTCCTTTCGTGGCCTGGGAGACCCCATCTTTCCCCATAGCCACAGCAGAGTCCTGTCACCTGGGCCTCTGCCCAAATCTCAGTAAGTGTTACATATGCTGCCCTGGAACTCACCATATAGTCCAGGCTGATTTCAGACTCACAGGAGTTCTGCCTCCACCTCTCAAATGCTGGGATTATAGGCACAATCCAACACGGTTGGCTCCTGGACCTTTGGGTGACCTAAACTACACATGGGCTAGACAAGCACTCTGCCACTGAGTTTATATTCCCAGTAATCCTACCCTTACCTCATCCCCCGCTTTTTTACTGAGACAGGTCTCAGGTTACCCTTGAGCTTGCCAAGGTAGGCCTTGAACTTGGGACACTCTTGCTTCAGCCTCCATGAATGCTGGGATTATGTATCCAACGCCATCATACCCAGCTCCTCCAACCTTTTGTTTTAACATTCTGGAGGCAGAGGCAGGTGGATCTCTGAAGTCAAGGCCAGCCTAGTCTACTTGATATCTCTGTCTCAAAAAAAAAAAAAAAAAAAAAAAAACAAATGAACAAAAACAATGTGAAGAGATGGCTGGGTAGTTAAAAGTACAGATTCATCCAGAGGACCCAGGTTTGATTCCCAACAAACTCACAACCATCACTATCTCCAGTTCCAGGAGATAGGAAGCCCTCTTCTGGCTTCCAGGGACACATGTAGTGCACATAAATATTGCAAGCCAATACACATACAAAATAAAATTGAAAAGAAAAAAAAAAAAGAAACATTCAACACCGAACAAAACCAAAAAGAACTGGTTATATACCCAGCACTCTGGAGCTTGAGGCAGGAGCACCAGGAATTGAAGATTTCATTTGCATCATAGTAAATTTGAGGGAAATTATGCTGCATGAGTCTTGTCCTAAAGGAAAGAAAGGAAAGGAAGAGAGAGAGAGAGAGAGAGAGAAAAAGAGGAAGAAAAAGAAAAGAGAAATCAGGCCTACAAGATGGCTGAGCTTAAGGGCACCTGCCACCACCCAGTTTGACAATCTGAGCTGGCTGCACATGGAGATCTGCTAGTTGTCCTTTATCCTCCATATGTGTGCCATGGCATGGGCACATTGCTGGCCTCAATAAAAATGTAATAATTTTTTTAATTTTAAAAAGAAAAATAATTACCAGTGAGGGACTGAGGTCAAGTGACCTACCTAGGGTCATACATTCCATGGTGGGCCTGGACTTTAGACCCAGGTTTATCTACTTCCAGGAGTGCCCATTTTCACCAGCTGTGAGAGCTGGAGAGACTCACAGGGGATAGCTGAGGAAAAGCCCTATGCAAACAGTTACAGGCTATACAAATGTCAGGCCTCCTTATTAATCAAGAGCTTGGCCATTCCTCCACCCCCCAACTTAATAAAGAGCCTTATTCTTGTTGACTTGGACACTCAACTCTGACCTTCCACATATTGAGAACCGGGGTTTTAAAAACAAAGCAGAGAAATGAACGGAAAGCGATGGCAGGCGTCCTCCTCACGCCTTCCCTGGAAAGGTTCTCCCTTTTAGGGATGGAAAGGGAATGTCGGCTACAGTCTAACTGAAGTCGACTCTGGGTTGGAGATGATGTCACTCCGGGGTGTAAGGGTGAGGTGAGGTGAGTCAGCACACCAGAGTCAGGCTTGGTGGCAGCTGTGCGACTATACACGAGCATGCCAGCTTCAGAGTCAGGAGACACTGAAACAGATTCTGCAGCCTGTGGCACACGCCTATAATCCCAGCACTTGGGAGGTGGAGGCAGGAGGATTGCAGTTCAAGGTTACCCTCACCCTCAGCTACATAGTAATTTGATACCGATTGGGTCCAGGAGACCCTATCTCCAAAAAGTAAGTACTGGACAGTTGGCTGAGCCCATTTTTTTTTCACTTTTTTTTTTTTATTTATTTTTCGCCGGCAGTGGTGGCGCACACCTTTAATCCCAGCACTCGGGAGGCAGAGGCAGGCGGATCTCTGTGAGTTCGAGGCCAGCCTGGGCTACCAAGTGAGTTCCAGGAAAGGCGCAAAGTTACACAGAGAAACCCTGTCTCGAAAAACCAAAATAAATAAATAAACTCACAGAGATTCGCCTGGCTCTGCCTCTGAGTGCTGGGATTAAAGGCGTGCGCCACCACCGCCCGGCTTATTTTTCTGTTATCAGCTTGATACAGTATAAATTCTTATCCTAATTGTGAAATGTTTCATTGAGGCTTGCCCAGTAATTGAGTAAAACCAAAACTTATTCTAAGCCACAGTCATCCTAGGGTCCCCCCTGCTATATAGCCTCCCTGGTTCTGTGGGTTGCAGTCTGATTGTTCTTTGCTTTATAGCCAGAATCCACTTATGAGTGTGTACATACCATGTTTGTCCTTCTGGGTTTGGGTTACCTCACTCAGGATGATATTTTCTAGTTCCATCCATTTGCCTGCAAATTTCATGCTGTCATTGTTTTTCTCTGCTGATTAGTACTCCATTGTGTGTATGTACCACATTTTCTTTTTTTTTTTTTTTTTTTTTGTTTTTGTTTTTTGTTTTTTCGAGACAGGGTTTCTCTGTGTAGCTTTGCGCCTCTCCTGGAACTCACTTGGTAGCCCAGGCTGGCCTCGAACTCACAGAGATCCGCCTGGCTCTGCCTTCCGAGTGCTGGGATTAAAGGCGTGCGCC